ATATTAATCAAAATAAATACTTCTTAATATTTTAATTTTTGTATATATTTTTATTATTTTAAAAATATATAAAATGTTAATAAAAATAAATATTTAATATATTTTTAAAATCTGAAAATATTAAAACATCAACAACTACAATTACAAATCAGTACTTTGAAACTAACAGAAACTTGAAGAATTTATACACTCAAATCCCTACTCAACACTTCTGCTGAAGTGAACAATTAATTCGTTAATTACTACCTTATATATATATATATATGAGGTTGGTGTTTGTCAGCCTGACCTCCCAAAAATTAGGAGGAAAAAGGACAAATATCACCTTAATGCATGCTTTAAAAATAGGGTAGTTTAGTCTTTTTCAATAAAAGTTTATTGAAACGACGTAGTTTTAGGATGATTTTCCTCCTAATTTTTGGGAGGTCAGGCTGACAAACACTTTTCCCTATATATATATACATATATATATACACACGTGTGCGTGCGTGTGTGTTGCATTAGTGTCTTTCTCAGCCGACAAGATTTGAATTTCCTAAAATTGAAAAAATCAGTCGGTTCATTTATTTTCCCCTAACAAGTATTAGCCTATAATAATATTATAAAGGATAAGGATATAGTGGACGATTTTGTGGAATGAAAATGGAGGATCATTTATGTGACAAACTTAAATTAATCATTTAATTCGATTTACATAACGAGTGGATTATATATTTATTTACATAACAAGTCACACAGATCGTACTTTAAAATCATCCTTAAAAAATCATCTCCTGAATCATTGTGGTATTACAAATTACGAACTATTAAGTACACCGATGTATAATAAGTAAGCTAATTAATGAGTAGTACATCTGAAAACAAACCTCTATGAAAACACAAGAGTCAAAGTGAGTTGTGAGGCCTGCCTGCCTCACCGGATTGTTTTCTTTTACTCCTATAATCTTCTTGTGATCTAGACAACGTTATCATGATTAAGACCGAGGGGAAGGTTGTTAAGAGATCTGAAATTGAGACCACATCTGGTGCCACCAAACTCGCCGTCTTTATAGTAGCATTTTCTGCGCGTGTGAGATTAGGCTTCAACCCCTTTGTCAAGACTATGTAAATTCTAACGGGGACTATTGATTTAATTGATAACAGAGATTTTGTTGTAAGAAAAAATTGATAGGAGAGTTTGATTAATTTTATTTTATTTTTTTATAAAGGTTTGATTCCATATAAAGATTAATAAGAAGTTAATTTATTATAAGCTTTTTAATTTTAATATAAATAATATATTTTAATTAAATTTAATAAAATTAATTATTTTTTAAATGTGTATGAACTAATTTAAAAATATTTTAATAATTAAATAAAAAATAAAAAATCTTGACAAACATATAAATGGATTGTTAAAAAATGAAAATTGAAAAAAGGGGAGAAAATTAAGATACCCCAAGGGTCCAAAACCCCAGAATGCCCTTAGGAGAGGGGCAAATAATACGCACTTAAGCCTGCATTCC